CGTCGCGAGTCGATGCATGCGTGAATGCGAGAGCGAGTGCGTAAAAGAGTACGGGATGCGAGAGTAAACGTCAACGGTCGCGTGGGAGCAGAAGAGAAATCGCGGTAGCAAAGAGATCGATGCCGGAGGAATCGAAGCGCATATCTCGCGAGCGAACGTCGATCGAGCGTCGTATTCCTCCATGGCGCGGCGCGGAACGGCGAGACGTAGTACCCGTGCCGCGAACCAAGGGAAACCGATCCGCGAAACCGATTTTACTTGGAAACATTTGAATACCAATATCCATGCAATCTTCTTCGTTACCTTGCTACGTTTGTTCGAGAGCCACGACGAGTCCGTGGTCATAAGCAAACAAGCGTGTTCGATGCGGAGAATCGACGACGACGAGGGAGTTTTTCGTCACGTCCCAAAGGAAACGTTTCGGGCGAGATTCTTCTTTTTCGCGCGCAAACGTTTCTTCCGTGACGTCCTCGATCAAAAGCGTCTCTTTCTCTCCGCTCGATACGACCGATCCTGAGTACGGGATTTCGTTAATTCTTTACACTAGCTAAGCTCGTTGGAATGATACCACCACACCAGTCCTTCTCTACTATATTATCTATACGTGCACCCTTTGCTCTCTGCATGCGAGTCACCGACCTATTTTTCCATCTTCTGCCTCTCTGTAAGTTTACCATCGTATCTTTGATATTAAACTATTTTATTCGATATGTACGATACGTTCTTTACATCTCTATCTCTATCTCTTTATATATATTTATATATATATATATATATATTATGTATTATTGCGTACGTATATTACATTTTTATGTCGTGTATTGATATTTTTACGTCTTCTAGGTTACCAGAAAATACCGCTCTGTATGTGTATGTCATTTTTACGTTTGTATCTTAATCTGTCAGAAAATTTGCGGTTTCGTATCGTTTAACGTACCTGTGATAATAGAGTATCGAAAAAGGATCAACGTACCTTTTCGTTTCTTTGTTTTGTTCCTCCTCCCTCTGAGAAACCCCGTGACCCTAACGAACGCATGCTTCTCCCCTTTTTGATCTCCTTTGCTCCGATCCGTTAGCACCACGGATAAAATCAACAGTCGAGAAACCGAACGGGAAATCCGATTAGTTCGCGCGCTGTATACTTTCGAGACCGACCGATTCGAAAACGACGCGCTTCGGTTCACGGTCGTATCCACGTGCGTATTTTGCGAAGAATTTTGTGATTTTTTGCATGGATGAATGCGCGGATGGATGCTGCTGGTAAAACAAAAGGGAACAAAAGAAGGACGGAAATATTTTTGACCGGGCTCGGGATTCCTCCTTCTCTCTCTCTCTCTCTCTCTCTCTGAGATAATCTCCACCATCACCGTTACAACCACCACCACCACCACCACCACCGTGAAATATAAAAAAATAATGATTATTTTTTTCATCGAGCTAACGTTTTTTGCGGGTGACTTTTTGGAGTTGCAAAAACAGAACAATTTTTCCACGAATATGTTCCTCGCTCGCATATCCTTATCAATTTATTCGTGAATTTTTTCCGTACGAACAACGCGGACAGACCAGGTTTCACGATCTCTCCTCTCTCGCTTCCTCTCTGTCCTTCCCCGGGTCCCATTCTCTTTGAATACACACGTAGTTTTACAACGAGATCCTGTCGGTTTTCACGCGTCCCGAACCACACGATACACCGATCCTCTCTCGTTACTTGTTATGGTTTCTCCTTCCTATAGCTTTCTTTTCGGTAGACACTTTATCATAGGTCTTCCCTCTCGATGCCTCGTGCCGCGACGAGGGAAACGACGGAATGTTTCGTTTCTTTCTTCCGTTCGTTCATTCTTCTTTTAATCTCTACCCTGTTTTTTGTCTGTCTGTCTCTCTTTCTTTGCGTTGCGTCCCCGTCGGTGGCGAGTTCCGTTTTTCTCGGTCAAGGAAATAGTCGCAAGAGTCGCGCGAAAAGAAACGAAAGGTCTTTCTCTCGGCGGCAGGGGGCAGGTGGACACGAGCCTTTAGTTATTTCATATTTGGAGTAGTGATTGCGCATGCCAGATAAAAGAAAAGAAAAAGATATTCTCACATCTCCCGCCTCTCTGCGACCAACTGCAACCGAGGAGCAAGCGATATTTTGTTCGATTTAACGATCGATTCGAATCGAGAATTTTCACCACCGACATTTTTCGTCAGAGCGGCAAAAAAAAAAGAAAATAGAAAGAGAAAAAAGAATAAAGAGAAAAGAAAAAAAATATCTGCGGATAGAGCAGAAAAGGGTACGATTGGAATCGAGCGCGTGGGAGGGAGGGAACGAAGAAACGAGCGAGTGCGCGTGTGCGTGTTTCACCAGCGAAACGGACGAAAATTATTATCACACGCCACCCCAACCCGACACCCCCCTATCGTTCTTTTTTTGTCTAAGTCAAAGCATAAAGAATAGCTGTAAAAGAGGCCATGTTGACGTTGATGATAATCAGTAGTATGCTACCCACTGATATGCCTAAATATTATTAAATATTTAATGATTCAATATTCAATATACGTGAGAAGTTGACACGAATTTTTACGAGTTTTTTTTTTCCCACTTTTTTGGCGACTTTTGGGGCGCAGCTGAAAAAAGTGAGTATCCCTTAGCTCGTTTCGAGTTGTGCCATGAATTTTCTTCCTACTTGATCGTTTTCTATATATGTATATATATATATATTAACAGACATAAATATATATATGTACATATACTTTTTTTCTATTTTCCGTCTCTTTTTTCGCATATCGTTTTGTTTTTTCTAACTGCGAGAGACCATTTTGGAAATGTCATTTTTTTACCATCTTTTTGTTGCTGCAAACGGAAGAGCAGAAACGTAAATCGAAATGAAAATCGTTTACGCGCAACAAAACGCTGCGACTACGCGCTCGCCAACTTTTTGTTTTTTTTTCCGCTGCATACCGATCTTATCGTGGCCGTAATTGATGCGTTAATTGCGCGCTAGAGGATGGGAGGAAAAATTTGATCCAGGGTGGGGATGAAACTTTTTCTTCGCGGTACAGCAGTCGCGCGTTTGTTTGGCTTTTCCTTTGCCGGTACCTTTTCCCCTGCAACGCATTTTTATTTTCTGCCAGACTACGTAGAGGCTACAGTGATTGTTTCGATTGCGTGCGAAATTAGAGAAGTACGTAGACACCGCTAAAGTTTTCTTTGGTTTTGTTTTTTATTTGTTTTTTTTTTTTTTTTGTTGTCGATCACGATCGTTGTTTCGTTCTTGTTTTTCTGTGTAATGCCGATGACATTTCCGGTGCCGGATACTGGACCGTCCATGAGAGATAGTACACAGCATCGTCTATCCTATATCGTCTATCGCCGATGAAAATGTGCGCGAGACAGAAACGTTGTGCCGAGAAGCAAACACGGTTTGTGAAAAATAAAAAGAACTAAAAAAAAAAAAACAAGCGGAAAAATAGAAAAATCGAGAAAAATAGAAATACGTTGAAAACTCGTCGAAACGTACACGAAAAAAAAAGAAACAAGGGAGACAATGTAGCAACGTTCGCGAGAAATTATATCGAAGCGGCTTATCGATGTGGGTAACTGTAAATACACGAGATACATTTTGTTACCCTTGCACGTTTTAACGAAAAACACGAATGCACGATTCTGTTGGCACAGTTTTCATCCACACCCAGCACCAATGATCGTAGATCGCCGCACACGTTGTACGCATATGATACGTGCGTGTAAAACTGGCTTCGTTTTGTCATGGACTCTCCAATATTGCCGTCTATATAGCATTATCGTCCAACGTAACCGCGCCGGCGATCACGTGTTTATTCGCGCGATTCGTATATTCGCGTCCTCGAACCGAATGCAAAATAAAAAAGAAAAAAAAAAACATACATTATTGGTATTCAAATGGAGGATTATCGTACCGTAAGGACGTAGAGCATGAGGTACCGCGTACCTCGTAACGTTGTTTGTACGTTGTTTTGTCCGTGTGCGATTGGTGGCATGTATATTTTCTCCGTTACTTTTTCTTTACTCTCTCGTTCCTCTTCCACGTTTGCGTTCTTTATTTCTCATTTTTCATTTCTCGTTTTTCATTTATATCGCTCGCAAGTATTTAATCGCAGACGCTTTGATTTTTCGTACTTTTCGCCACGACGAACGGGATAAACCGAACGCGTCTAATCTCATCGATTAAACGTCACCGACGAAATCGTCGACGTTTCTCTTTTCGCTTAATCCACGTTGATTTATATCGATGTATCGTAGCGAAAAGTACATACCGTTGAGTCGCTTCGCGTCAGACTATGCTTACGACGGACAACGCTCGACGAATTACCGGTATACCCGTTTTTCGTTTCGTTCAGTTCTCGTTTAAACTTTCGCGTTTATTTTGCAGGGATTACTCGTTACTCTATTATTTCATCGTTATTCCCACCTTTTCCCTTTCACGCGTGTGACTGCGATTACGTGTAGGTGAATGCGCGATTGGATGTGTGACGGACCGTCGTGCGTAAGGAGCATCGATTAACCGTGCGTTGCGTTCCAGTTCCGGGAGATCCTCAGGACGTGAAAGCAAGACCGATCAATTCGACCGCGATACACGTCGAATGGAAACCGCCGAAATCGAAAGAACAGAACGGCGTGATAAGAGGTTATCACATACACGTGCAAGAAGTGAGAGAAGAGGTGAGTGGTTGCTTAAAATAGAGGAGCTGGAAGCTGACCCTCGCGAATCTACCTTTAGGGAAAGGATCTACTGAACGAGCCGATACGACGCGACGTGCACGATGACGGCGTGCTAGAAATGAACATCACCGGTTTGCAACCGGACACTCGATACTCGGTGCAGGTAGCGGCACTCACGAGAAAAGGAGACGGCGATCGTTCGACGCCGGTTCACGTTCGTACGCCCGGCGGTGTTCCGAACAGACCTCAGGTTAACGTAAAGTACGTTCTTCTCTTCCGAACGCTCCTGAGTCGATCACGAGAAACTTGTCCTTTTCAGAGTTTTGTCCAGAGAGCCGGTCGAGCTGGAGCTCGATTGGGAGCAACCTACGCAAACCTACGGCGACCTGTTGGGTTACAGAATCAGGTACGGAATCAAGAATCAGACGCTGAAAGAGGAATTCATCGAAGGGACTCGGGTACACACCTATAAAATCACCGACTTGGGTGAGTACTTGCATAATCTATCACGTTAATTTTGATTTAAAATTAATCGGTCGGCTGGTCTCGCGTTCTCAGAGGAGAGAGGCGTGGATTACGAGTTTAGGGTCGCAGGACAGAACGCGATCGGTTTCGGTCAGGAGACGGTGCGCTATTGGTTCAGTCCCGAAGGAGAGCCGACCGGTCCTCCGACGAACCTGTCCTACACCTTCCAAACTCCCGACACCGTGTGCGTCACGTGGGACAAGCCTTTGCGGCAGCACAGAAACGGACAAATAATCGGTTACGACGTGCAGTTCAATAAGAAGAACGATCATTCGACGACCATCGACCGAAACACGACCAAGACCAGGGCGGTCTTCACGAATTTGGAAGAGAATACGGAGTACGTGTTCCACGTAAGGGCGCACACGTCGAGGGGCAGCGGTCCGTACTCGGAGAAAATTACGATAATAACGGAGAAGGATATCGGTCGAGCACCGCTGTCCGTGAAAGCGGTGGCCACGTCGGAAACGAGCGTGGAGGTCTGGTGGGAACCGGTGCCTAATCGCGGTAAGATCCTCGGCTACCAAATCTTCTACACCACCACGGCCGTCGAGGATCTCGACGAATGGAAGCAGAAGTCCGTCGGACTCACCGAGTCGGCGGATCTGGTGAATTTGGAAAAGTTTACTCAGTACGCGATCACGGTGGCCGCCAGGTACAAGACCACCCTGGGCAGGCTCAGCGAAAAGGTGACGGTCAAAGTGAAACCGGAAGACGTGCCGTTGAATCTCAGGGCACCCGACTCGTCCACCCATTCGATGACACTGTCTTGGACACCGCCTATCAAGCTGAACCCCATGAACTACAAAGTGTCGTTCGACGCCGTCAAGGAGTTCGTCGACTCGCAAGGTATCACGCAAACGCAGATCGTGCCTCGTAGACAGATGCTGCTGGATCCGTCCGTGACGACCGTCACCGTGAACGAGCTACAGCCCTTCACGACGTACAACGTGAACGTCAGCGCTGTGCCACGCGACGGTCAGTACAGGCCGCCTGCGAAAATTACGGTCACCACGCAGATGGCGGCGCCGAAACCGATGGTCAAGCCAGATTTTTACGGGGTGGTCAACGGCGAGGAGATTCAGGTGATTCTGCCGCAAGCTTCCGAGGAGTACGGCCCGATCTCGCACTATTACCTGATTGTCGTGCCTGAAGACAAATCCACGGCTGATAAGCAACCGGACGAGCTGACGGAGGACATGATCGCGGACAAAGGAGCTAAACAGGAGAGGGACAACGCGCCTTACATCGCTGCCAAATTCCCGCACAGGGACATCCCGTACACGTTTCATCTGGGAAGCGGAGACATCTACGAGGGTTACGAGAATCGTAAACTGGAGAAAAATAAGCGGTATAGAATATTTGTTCGCGCCGTGGTCGACACGCCGAGAAAGGTAAAGATAAATTATTAAACGCTCGGAATATCGATCGACGATAAAAAAAGATATTACTGATCTAATCTTGTCGTTTAATGTTATTATTGATGGGGGTATTAATAATCGAATAGCTGGTAATTCGACGTTATCGTAATCCGCTAAAAAGAATTTTTATTTTGATGTCGCCTTTCTTTTCGGACGCTTTATTTTTATATTCGCGCATGTTTGTATTTACGTTCGTAATGGAATTAAGTCCCGGAACGAGTGAATAAATAAACGTTTTTCGTTCGATCGCAGCATCTGTACACCTCTTCACCCTTCTCCGAGTACTTGTCGCTCGACATGAGGGAAGTGCCACCTGGCGAACCACCCAGACGTCCTAATCCCAACACCCCGGTCGATGGAAATCCAGAGGTGTCCGTTAAAACCAGCGGCCAAGAGCCGGGAATGGTTTGGGTGGTTGGTCCGATAATAGCGGCGCTGATGGTCAGCGTATTTCTCGTACTCCTGTTTGTCATTAAAAAGTAAGTATCGCCGCTTTACCGTGGCGGGACTTGGATCGAACTCGATACGGAATAACATACTGTTTCATTATGAAAACGATCAGACCGCGTCACCGACGAAATTATTTACGCTTCGCCGAAGCTTCTTTACTTAGCGGCCGTTCGTCCAAGCGAAATTATTCAGTACAACGAAAATAATATCGTGATCGTACGTTTCGAATTAGTTCCCGAAATACGTGGCTTTAAAGCCTAAAGAGGGATGATGAATGGCGATGAAATTCTCAGAAATAACGTGTCCTACATTTTTTTCTTGGGAGCGCGTACGCGCGATAAAAGTATAAAAAAAAACGAAAGCTGAGTCAGCAGCTGACCAGCGCGCACGTTTTTCCTAGCTCGGGATAGGTCAGTACCGTGTGCGACTGCGAGGTTCGATCGTGCAAACGGAGACAACTATATTAAAGTATTTCAAGTCGTGTTTCGCTTCGAGCGAGCATATCTTGCTAATGGAAAGTCGTATCGACGAAAACCCGTTTTAAGAAACAAGCTTTCGTGCTTCTAACGACGTTAATCTCCGTTAAATCGCCAAATTTTTCTACGCTCGAAACTATGCAAATTGATTCGGATCGAGTAAAATGATCAAAGTCCCGCATTTTTCGTGAAAGCATATTTCTTACGTACGATAATTGTCACAGGCGAAGACAACCGTGCAAAGCACCGGATCAAGCAGCCGTAACCCGACCGTTGATGGCAGCCGACATTAGCTCGAATCACGCGCCGTCCGATCCCGTCGAGATGCGTCGTTTGAATTTCCAAACACCGGGCATGGTATCTCATCCACCGATTCCTATTAGCGAGCTAGGAAATCACATCGAGCGTCTGAAAGCGAACGACAATCTAAAATTCAGTCAAGAGTACGAATCGATAGAACCCGGCCAACAGTTCACTTGGGACCACTCGAACATGGAAGTGAACGCGTCGAAGAATCGTTACGCGAACGTGATCGCCTACGATCATTCCAGAGTGATTTTGCAAACGATCGACGGCATATCGGGCACAGACTACATAAACGCGAACTACTGCGACGGTTATAGGAAACAGAACGCGTACGTGGCCACTCAAGGACCGCTGCAAGAGACGTTCGGCGACTTCTGGCGAATGTGTTGGGAGCTGAGATCCAGCACGATCGTGATGATGACGAAACTAGAGGAAAGGACGAGGATCAAATGCGATCAGTATTGGCCGAGCAGAGGATCCGAGACGTACGGTTTGATGACCGTGACGATCACCGACGTTCAAGAATTGGCAACCTACTGTATCCGAACGTTCCAGATATCTCGAGCAGGTTATTCGGAGAGACGCGAAATCAAGCAGTTACAGTTCACGGCTTGGCCGGATCACGGTGTACCCGAGCATCCTGCCCCGTTCTTGCAGTTCCTACGTAGAGTCAGATCGTTGAATCCACCCGAGAGCGGGCCGTTGATCGTGCACTGTAGCGCAGGTGTCGGTAGAACCGGCTGCTTCATCGTCATCGATTCGATGCTCGAGAGGATCAAACACGAGAAAATGATCGACATATACGGCCACGTGACTTGTCTGCGCGCTCAAAGGAACTACATGGTACAAACCGAGGATCAATACATATTCATTCACGACGCCCTTTACGAGGCGGTGATTTGCGGTAACACGGAAGTGCCTGCCAGAAATTTACACTCCCACATCCAGAAGCTGATGCAGCCAGAGCTCGACAATATCACTGGCATGGAACTGGAGTTTAAGAAACTATCCAACATCAAGGTGGACTCGTCGCGATTCATATCGGCGAATCTGCCTTGCAACAAGCACAAAAACCGACTGGTACACATTCTGCCGTACGAGTGTACCAGAGTATGCCTGCAACCTCAGCGAAACATCGAAGGATCCGACTACATAAACGCTAGTCTGATCGACGGTTATCGGTATCGCGGCGCTTACATAGCCACTCAAGGTCCCCTGTGCGACACCACCGACGATTTTTGGCGTATGCTCTGGGAACACAACTCCACGATCGTGGTCATGCTGACGAAACTCAAGGAAATGGGCAGGGAGAAGTGTCATCAGTATTGGCCGTCCGACAGGTCGATTCGATATCAGTGTTTCGTAGTCGATCCGATCGCGGAGTACAACATGCCCCAGTACATCCTGCGAGAGTTTAAAGTGACGGACGCTCGGGACGGAGCGAGCCGCACGGTCAGACAGTTCCAGTTCATCGACTGGCCGGAACAGGGTGTCCCGAAATCCGGCGACGGGTTCATCGATTTTATCGGACAAGTGCACAAAACGAAGGAACAATTCGGTCAGGATGGCCCGATAACCGTACACTGTAGCGCGGGCGTTGGTAGGACGGGTGTCTTCATCACGCTCAGCATCGTGCTGGAACGTATGCAGTACGAAGGAGTGGTCGACATCTTCCAAACGGTTAGAATATTGCGAACGCAACGCCCAGCCATGGTTCAAACCGAGGTATACGTCGATTTTTCTTTCGTCGCTGTTAAGAGAACGAGTAGTAACCGTTTACTTTTTCAGGACCAGTATCAGTTTTGCTATCGTGCCAGTTTGGAATACCTGGGTTCTTTCGATCATTACGCCAACTGACAACCCGACACTCACGAGGACAGAGACTCGACCAGGGACAGAAGAGATCGACAGAGAAACGACAGAGACGTCGGGGAACGAGCAAAAGTACGACGCGTCTAGTACGACGCGGACAAAAAATCGTGTAAGTTTGTAAGTATGTAGTCTACGCCACGGGCATAACGCGTACCACTCGTGGCCATACCTTTCGAGGACGAAGGCGATAGAGAGCCGATTACAGCGTAGTTAAACCAAGTGTATCGTTAGTCAATGGTGTCGCGACAATCGCGAGATACGCGGAAGACTTCTGTATCGAGAACCGCGTACAATGTGCGCGTTCCACTCAATTGTATTCAAAAATTACCCCGAACGAACGAACCGGGACAAGACTGCCGTTTAGAACCATTTACGGCTCAGAATCGTAGAAACAATCATATCTCTGTAGGAATATTCTTTATCGAAACTTCTTTTACGGTTTAAAGCAAAAACGATTAAAAAAAAAACATAGAAAAAACGAGAGAAGAAAAACGCAGAATCTACGAACAAAAAAAATTGAGGAACCGCAACTTGGACGTTTTCCAACCGACAATGAATTTGATCGAATAGGATCGAACGGAGGCTGATCTACCATTCGACGAGTAGATACCTCGAGTAATTAGGTTCGATCGTCGAAACATATCCAACTCGATCGTTCGAAGACTCGCGAAAATCGATCTTGCTTAGATAATTTAAACGTAAGGGAACGACTGACAAGGATCATCGTTTCGAGCGTGCCTCGCGTTTTTTCTTGCGGCACAAAAATGCGTGAATAAAGTTCAAACACGTGTTCTCCTATTCGTCGAAGATAAGTGCTTCCATGTTTGTGGGAAAGCTGTAACGTCCGAGAACGAGCAAATATGCGAAATACGCTTCGTCAGAAACATCATCGATCGAGTACGCGTTCGAAAAGTACTTATGTACGTCGTCGTTGCGAGTAAGAATATCGAGGACAGAAGAGTTGCGAGAGTCTCGGTAATAAACGTCGAGAATGCAGCAGAAAGACGTAAAGGACAGTCGTAAAAACTGATCAGTTTTCTGAACCGAACGGGGAAGAAAAATTCCATGGCAGCTCTTGATCCGTAAGACAAACAGGTGTCTTAAAATTGATAGAAAAAGTCAACTACGTTTTTTCCACATATCATTTTTCTTTATCGATGTTTGATCCGTTGGGTCTCCAAACTGGTCACTTTCTGCCATTGTCACTTTCGCTCGGTGACAAGAAAATTACCATACTGCCAAATCGACAATTATTCATGATGAACCCATTACGCACGATAGGAATCTTCTCATTACCTACTGTAATTTTAAGTAGACCTTAAGCGATCGTTCTAAGGATTAGAGTGTCTAAGCGATGCCATTAGAAAGAGAAGAAGAAACTGATCGAATGAAAGAAGAGTGAAAGGAAACGGTGCCTATACTCGATTAAAACGCACGAAAGAGTTGCGCAGGTTTCTATGAGAATTAATTTAACTAGAAGCACTGTATGTTGGATTCGCGTACTGTTCCCCCGAGCCCTGGATACCCTCGTGTACAAAGTTCCATCGCAGGCTTCTACCTCGACTACTTTTACGATTTTCCCAGATGACTCGGCTAACAATTTGCCACCAACTTGGATCATTCCTGACTCGGTTAATATCGTCAGACTGAGTTGCCTCGTGTTCGAGGCGTGTTACGCTTCTTCGTAGTACAATTTATCGAAAAACAAACCGGAGAATTCTGGAATCCACGAATATCTGTTTCCCCCAGCATCGAAACGCCGAATCAATGTCAAAAGAGGAAAAGAAAAAAAAAGGGATCGCGGTGATAACATCGCGATCGATCGTGCGCAAACGTATATCCTTTTTGATAACTTTCGACGCGTATCACTTGCGATTCAAAGAGTTATAAAGTTCGTAGTCTATTCAAGACAATAAACTCGTATTCTCGTTTATATAGGTATATACGTCTTCTCTATTTCAAAATGTCCACTGTTCATTACGATAGAACATAAAATTCTACCGATAAACTATGTAAGTATAATGTAACGAACGTGTTCGCCTACGACTCAGTCGATTTTTTGACATTGTTTCGGCATGGATCGTGGTCCGTTTTAGCATTCGAAAAGAAATCAGTATTATTCTTCTAGATTCGATCTTGAAATTATTCCAAACCAAGCATTCGACGCTTCTTTCGGTTGAAAGCGGTTCGAGGGTCAGGAATTGTGACTAAAACTGTACATAAATGCACCTTTCTTTATCGATGTTTGATCCGTTGGGTCTCCAAACTGGTCACTTTCTGCCATTGTCACTTTCGCTCGGTGACAAGAAAATTACCATACTGCCAAATCGACAATTATTCATGATGAACCCATTACGCACGATAGGAATCTTCTCATTACCTACTGTAATTTTAAGTAGACCTTAAGCGATCGTTCTAAGGATTAGAGTGTCTAAGCGATGCCATTAGAAAGAGAAGAAGAAACTGATCGAATGAAAGAAGAGTGAAAGGAAACGGTGCCTATACTCGATTAAAACGCACGAAAGAGTTGCGCAGGTTTCTATGAGAATTAATTTAACTAGAAGCACTGTATGTTGGATTCGCGTACTGTTCCCCCGAGCCCTGGATACCCTCGTGTACAAAGTTCCATCGCAGGCTTCTACCTCGACTACTTTTACGATTTTCCCAGATGACTCGGCTAACAATTTGCCACCAACTTGGATCATTCCTGACTCGGTTAATATCGTCAGACTGAGTTGCCTCGTGTTCGAGGCGTGTTACGCTTCTTCGTAGTACAATTTATCGAAAAACAAACCGGAGAATTCTGGAATCCACGAATATCTGTTTCCCCCAGCATCGAAACGCCGAATCAATGTCAAAAGAGGAAAAGAAAAAAAAAGGGATCGCGGTGATAACATCGCGATCGATCGTGCGCAAACGTATATCCTTTTTGATAACTTTCGACGCGTATCACTTGCGATTCAAAGAGTTATAAAGTTCGTAGTCTATTCAAGACAATAAACTCGTATTCTCGTTTATATAGGTATATACGTCTTCTCTATTTCAAAATGTCCACTGTTCATTACGATAGAACATAAAATTCTACCGATAAACTATGTAAGTATAATGTAACGAACGTGTTCGCCTACGACTCAGTCGATTTTTTGACATTGTTTCGGCATGGATCGTGGTCCGTTTTAGCATTCGAAAAGAAATCAGTATTATTCTTCTAGATTCGATCTTGAAATTATTCCAAACCAAGCATTCGACGCTTCTTTCGGTTGAAAGCGGTTCGAGGGTCAGGAATTGTGACTAAAACTGTACATAAATGCACCGTCTGTCATAAACAACATAGATATAAATATGAATATATATATATATATACATAAACAAAATGATATATATATTATATATATATATATAAATATTATAAATAATACAAATGAAGAGAGTACGCATTTAAAGAAAGAAAAAAAAGAAACAAAGCTGTGGATATTTTCCAGACTGTCAAGATCGATATATTTGTTTGTTTCCCGAAAAAGCAGGGTGTTATGTATTTGTAAGGTTTTTGTTTCGATGCTTTTCATGGTTTTTTATTTTATTTTCGACGCATCTTTTGATACTGTTTTTTAACATCTTTGTACATTATTCTTTTTTACGCAAACTTTTATTGCGTACCTATTTTTTTACACGAGATTTACATCGAATATTATGTGAATAATATATTAGTTCAGGAACATGCATTTATTCGTATCTCGTATCTCTTTATTTCACGTTGTAAGACTGAAGGCCATTGCGTCTAATGTACTCCCGTGCGTGTATCTTCGGTACTTGTCAAAGTACTTAAATGGCTCGGTCGTCGTTGTTACGAAAAATAGACTACTTAATCTTTGCATCTCTACATTGTCTCGAACATCGCGACATTTGTTTCCATTGAAACATAGCGTTCATACCCAATGTGCATTTCGATCTTTTTCATGACATTTCTCGATGATTTTCGCTTGTAAATACATTCCCGATATCCTCACCGAACCATTCTTCGTAGTGAAATTGGCCTTTGGTACAAACACGAAACGATTAGCTTATTCAACGTTTAATTTTCGTGCTAACTCGTCCAACTGAAGTGTACAGTATTTTGTTTCTACATCGTCTTAGCGTATAAGTTACCTTTCGATATCGTCATGGAACGTAAATTCTAGCGCAGCTACTCCGGCAGCGGAATGCTCTTTTGTAATCAGCGATTGTGAAGTTGCAAAACAAATTTCTTTGATAAAACTTTGTTACTACTGAAGAGTACAATCGGTATATAGAAGTTTAACGAAAGTCGACTCGTTCTGCAAGATATCAGACTGTTGTGTTTGCTACGAACTCTTTTTTAACGTATCTACATCTAGTTTCCACAGTTTCGATTCAAAGACGACCCGTGTGCAAAATTTCGACAGTATTCGTAACAAAGGAACGGGATGAATTATAAATATCATGGCACAATAATTTTTGAAATGTTCAAAATTACTCTATCGTTCAATTTTTAAGCGGTATACTTTGTAAGGTTTGACAAAGCAAACAGAAAAAAAATATATACACGTACACACACACAAACACATACATTCATATAAAATTCTGCACAAAGTGCAGTTTTGCCAATACGGTCGACAACTTCGCGTTCAAAGTTCCAGACTAAAAATACAATATTATGGAAAACGAAAAGTTAAATGATTGTATAAAACATATTACTAGTTGTATAAGTTGGTAGCGTTAAATTGTATTCGATGAATTTACTGATACAAGGAAGTCCACGATATTCATATATTTATAAGGTACCGATCGTAATGTTATTACGTTTCTTTTGTATCATTCCAAAAGTTTTGTGTACGTTGTACTTTAGCTGCGTGTCTATCGTTAGTGTTTACAATTTTTTTACATCCCAAAATGTATAGCAATATATGTGGTTTGTTGTATTCTTCTTCTTGAAAAGCATACAACTCGCGTTTTCGGAGCAGTATTTAATAACATTAACAATGCATAATCGGCCATGAATGCTCCGTGCAATACCACGACGAGTTTGTTACCCTATCGTAAGATCGTTTCGAGTTGACTCGCTCGACTAAGACTGCGAGCAATTGCAGTCATTAATCCTCAGAAAAATATGAATTAAAGACACGAAGAATAAGTCAAATACTAAATAATCGTTGAAAAAATGGGAAATTATTTTGTGATACTTTCTTGCCAGAAAGAATACAACAGGCTGAAGTGAATATAATAAATGCAATGTTACTAATTAACACCTATACAAATTAAATATTGTGTAATAGAAAGTCTGTTGACGAGGAGAAATAATGTGTACATTATGTATTGCCTTATGGCATTAATAAACTAATAACTAACGTACATTCCCATTTTTCCATTGTCTTCTATTTTGGGAGATCATCTAAAACAAACACCAAATGATTTTAGTAGCAACTTTATTATATCGTTTCATCGATACATATAATAATATTCGTTAATACGTATGCACAAGTCGTAATGTTCCAATGTGGATCTCCTTATGGTAACACCGCAATTAAATAATATCACGTTAAAAAAGTTTTAACTTATATCATATTGGCTGGTTGACTTGGATTATTTGTTGGTGGACTCCTGGTCATCATAGATGCAACCTGCAATAATGACTTTCATAGCCAACGTTCACGAACGCTTACAATAACAAGACTCCTTCAATGAATCTACCTTTTGTATGACTTGTCTTCTTAAGAAATCCCCTGTTGCTGCTGAAACATTTTGTTCCTTTCCCATTTTACATTTTATGTATCCGTACAAATTTGCACCATTCAGAACAATCGCGATGCACACCAACAGAAGCCATTTAATCTTTAAGCCAAAGAGGGCTATTATAAAAAATATGGACCACAACATTGGACACAGAATCAACGCTGTCCAAAATATACAAGCTTCTTGGGAGTTGATGCGATTCTGTTGATTACCCTGGAACACAGGGTACATAGTAGATCTTGCATTTTATGGTGTAAGAATGGTAAGATAATAAATTCCTGCATGCATAATTATAACATTGAGCGGAAACAGTGAGAGGCACATGACACAACATAAATGATAAAAAGTAACTACTGGTAATCAACCAAAGTAAGAAAAAAGTTTCAAGATAATTGTCATGAATTGCCTTTTTACAATAAATAGTTTGTACAATAATATTCAAGAACAAACCTTTCTGGATTCAAATACCCAATGACTTTTTCCATTGTCATCTACGTAATTCCACCATCTGAGACCAACCATCAACCTTCCAGTAATATTTTTTACCGTCCAAAAGTCCATTGACAAGAGTAACACAATAGTTACGAAACTAGCTATAAAACTATTTGAAAACAATCCACAAAACATGTAGACTATTACAGCTGCTACTCGGAAGGCTAAGTGAAATGCAGTGACATATGGATGCCTACAAAAGTAGAAAGCGTTATCCAAACTGAAGGATGCTTAATTAAACATTACGGTTTATAAAGTTGTACATACTTAAGCTTATTGCTGTTTTGATTCGTCTCATCCTCTTCTACAAAAGCTATTGTATCGTCATCCATTAGTAAAGGAACCTAGAAATGACAGATATTAATTAGATAGTAACAACTAACATCACAACTTTGTGTACAACGACGATGCTAACCAAAAAGATAAAATTCTTTGTGTTTTAGTAAAAGATCATGTGCATTAAAATTTAGCAACATTGTATTGTGTATATTTAATGAACTTTTATGCGTACGATCGACTCAGTTAATATGTGTTAACTTTAACTAATATACATACTGGAATTTATAATCAACTGTCATAGACAATTGCGATATTATAACAAAATAATATCAATTTTTCATACGCTAAAAACTATTTCCTTATAACGTTCTAGAAGAAACTAGAATTTAATTGATATCACAAAAAAGCATTTTGACGTCCATGTATGTACACAAATCGAATGGGCTAAAACCTTACACTTACCGACGCAGACGCCATGTTGTCATGTTTGCCGAGATTTCGTCGATATTAGCGCCACGTAATAGCTCAAAAAGCGCGAAACATACGTCACTAAATTTTAAATTAAAGTAGTACAACAAGAGTACAAGATACGCTCTAATTTTTAAATTTTTTAACAATTGAACAGTTTCGATGTCATTTTGATCATTCAAATTTCGCCGCGCGACCGAAAGTCGCTTCCAGATTGGTAAATCGAGTCATGAATTCTATTGGCTGAACGTTGAAAATTATATTCTATGTAACACGCCACACTTGCCGAAGTGAAGCAACCCCGTTCGGTAAAGTGATACGAGACGCTAGTTCGTGCTCACATAAACATTTTACGTATCTCCCTCAGAATTCATGATTCGCAAACGTGGGGATAAACTGGTTGAAGAACGAATGTGCGCGTGTGCTGGTAGTAACAAAACAGTAGTAGCAGCACTGTCATTCGCTGGTGTTAATAACTGTGACAATGAAGGTGGTGGTGGTAGTGGTTGAGATAAGTGCGGGGGACTGAATGCACATCAGCGAATGTTGTGTCTCACGAAACAGTTTCTCATGGTACACGTTGCAGAGGATATGCGATATAGTTTGAGGTGCCAAAGGTTGTACGATTGACACGATGTTAAAGGATTATTCGCCGATTACGCAGGCGCTTTTCGGAACGCTATTTACGTGGGGTCTCACTGCAGCGGGTGCCGCACTTGTCATCGTAATTCAAGGAAACCAAGTAAGTTTATTCAGCTTTTTCGTCTTTTCATGACTGAATAACGTCCTTGAATCGCCCAAATTTTACATTTATCGCTCCGTGAACAAACAGAAGTATGTTTAATTTTAACGTAGCTTTCTTTCCGGAGCACATTCTAACCTTAACCGAAATACTCCCTTTGCGCGGGAAGTGCCCAATTTTTAAAAATCGTAGCAATTCTATTCACAAAATGATGTACATCGCAATGAAATTTATGCGTTATTTTTATTTGTTATATTAATATTTTGTGTATCGTTATACATTTTTCATTTTCTATTACGAATTAATTTTAATCATAATTAATCTTACGATCAAATCGTAAGGGCCGACACGCTTTTTATTCTCGGTTAAAATTTAAAAATAGCAACATTATGTGAGGTAAGTTCAGTGTTTACGGGTTGTACCAAAAATTAATGTACAATTATAATTCGAACCGGTTCAAGGTTTATCTCGCATATCATTATAATCTACATCCACGTCACCTGACAATCTACGCTCTTAGTTTATCTTTCGGCTACGTTAATTGAACAGCAAAGATTCGCGATCAAAGGTCGTAAAATCTTGATTTCAACTTGTTGAGGTTTCTTTTGTTTCCGTATGATTTATTTCAATGTTTTTTCCTCGATCAATGACGCTTTCTAAAAGCGGGCAGAAAACAAAATACAGAAACGATCTGACTGGATGAAATCGATTTTGTTACAGCGCAAACTGTTGGACGTCAGCCTAGGATTCGCGGCAGGCGTAATGGTTGCGGCAAGTTACTGGTCCCTATTGGCACCTGCCATCGAAATGGCGTCAAAGAGCAACATTTATGGAGCAGAAGGCGAATACGCGTTCGTACCGGTTGGAGTTGGATTTCTCGTAGGCGCGGCTTTCGTTTACGGGACGGACGCGTTGATATCTTCCCTCGGCATTCAGTCCCCCAATGTGCTTTTAGCTATGCAATCAGTCGGTACGAAACAAAGACGCAAGATCCTTGCAAAACTAAAGAGTGATGAGGACTTAGACGATTATGATCCGTATAACGACGTACAAAAAACCGGTGGAAAAATGTATACACAAATTGAGTCGACCACCATAGATGGTATCTTACTTTTTACTTGTAACATCCGATTCTCTCTGTAGGCTTGGAAAATGGGATCAGTTCACGTTATACGTGTATACTATGTCTCTACTCGTAGATATATGTCAATGTACTCGCCCTCTTCGCTTTTTTCATACGAAACGATAAGCTTCAGAAATAAGCAATCCTCTTTGTAAGTTGCTTGTTTTTGGAAAACATCGTTTCTCCTCTCATCAATTTTGTCCAGTTTCGTGTCATCGTTATCGTTCACGTTTGTTGAAGTTAATTGCTTTGCATCTGGAAAAATGTAAGATACGGCAGCGTTCGCATGTAAACGTTTCAAAAACAACAGACGAAACATGCGCAATCAGTGAAACACGAATCACGTTGTCAGCGTAATACAATTATAGTATAATATATAACTGTACGATACACATGCTGAACAAAAATTCGACGACTTGACAAAACTGATCTTATTAATCCTGCCTGCGAATCTAAGGTGCGAAAAAATACATTGGACCAAACAATTTACGAAAGCTTTACAAAAGCTTTGAGATTGCTTTATCGCAAGAATATCGAAAAGAGAAAAAGATCGCTTTTGATTGTAACAAGCTTCCTTCATTTACGTATTAACCATAGCGGAAAATATTGTCGTGTTACAGTATCAAAGTATCAATATCATTTTAGGTTTTTACGAACAGAATAGCAGACGACGTCAAATAGCAAGGATAAACACACCGGCAGAACCAGGAGAAGTTGGAGCGGTCTACGAAGACCCTAACAACGAATGTAAAAACAACCAATGGAGAAGAGTATTGTTGTTGGTGGTTGCTATTACGGTATGTAAATTGATAGTTTAAAACTTCTCGTTATTTCGTCGACGATATACTTGACGTTGCATGAAAATCTTGCTTTTACAACGAATTAGGTGCACAATATTCCAGAGGGGCTCGCAGTTGGAGTGGGATTCGCGGCGGTAGGCAGCAGCGCGTCGGCAACTTTTGAAAATGCCAGGTAAGAGAAACATTGACATTGGAACTACGTATATCTTTGCATAAATAACGATACGAATAATAAACGTATTATCGGAGAAATGCTAATCGCACGTAAAACAAAAGAAAATTGTTAGGAAAGATACGTCGAGAATAGAATTTTAATAGCAGATGCGCTATGTATACTATGTGAATATGCTGTAAGGTTATTTCGATCAAACTTAAATACGTGCAATCTAAAGTTGTTCGCTTAGATCAATCGTGCCTATCAAATTCATTATAGATCCCCATGCGTTAAACGGTTAAACCGATCGTTTCGAATACTGCGAGAAATTATGCGTGTAGAAGAAATATTTCTTCGTCGATATCTCCGTTATTCTACTTAAAATAAGGAGATACATAAACGAAAAGGAAAACACGAATTACCGACGGTTGCGTATGAATAAAAATATCGCAGGTAAGTTGATCGAACTGCCGGGAGATGGCAGCATCGGCGGATTTCAAGAGGCGCAATTTATGAGCGCGTGATAGGAGGTCCCCATGAATGAGTTCTATGGTGGTCGGTGCGAGTGCCAGCCGCAGGCGAAGTTTATTGGCAGCGGTGTGTGCCCGCGGCGAGGGGAAGGGCACGTGTGGCCCTGGAATTCAACGAGCCCTAGGCGCCGCGCATTCCATTCCAGCTTGCCGTTGTCCGCCGCTCTTTCCTTCTCTTTTCTTTTCATCTCTTCTCTTCTCTTTTCTTCTGGAAACTTGCCCCGAACTCGGTCTCCTTACGCCTTTAACTTTAGAGCACGGAGATGCCTACGATGACGCGTACATCGTGTGACGTTGTTTTCATTTTTACTAAAGTCGAGCGAATAACGTAAACCTTATTTATAGAAAATGTCAACGATAATCGCTCGTTCCCGTATCTCGGACCTTCCTCTTGTTCTCTTCTCTTTTTTCCACGATACCCTGTCCGTGCTATTTAATCTCGCTCCGTCGCAATCTTTTCCACTGAAATTCATTAAGAATGTTCACTTGTAGCAACAGCGAAATTTCTTTATAAACAGTGGAGAAAAGGTCATTATCGTTATCGTGTAACCGGTCGTCCGCGAATAGCTCGTTTTATCGTGGATCATGAACGCACTCCGTCTTTGTATTTTCCGCGATCGATCGGCATAAAAACGAGCGAAAGAAACGATGTTAGATTTCTCGATACAGAACGCGTCAAGCTCGAATTCCAAAGCATTCGTCGCTCCGCTAAGACGTCCCAGAGCGAAGATTACCAGCGTTGGAAGCCCATTAAGAATCCGAAGAACGAGTGGATCGTGTCGGCGTTTTCCTTTCTATCGCGTGATGTAATTAAGAAATACACCGATCCGATCGATAGCCTCGAAAAGTAAGAATATTTCAGCAAGAAAAAATCATCGCAGATCGAAGGAAACGATCGAGCATGGGTGCAAGGATCCGTGTAAACCGTCTCTGTTATTTTGTTCATTCTCATATTCCAGAGAGAGTCCGATAAGGGAACGACGTAAAAGCGGTATCTCGCGCAAGTTTCCCGGTTATGAATGAAACGTTGGCTCGGTCCGAAAGATGACCCCGGCCGATATATCGGAGCCGTGCGTATCGCCACGCAGCAGTTCGTGCTATGCGTACATCGTTATCGATGCGCGTGTTTCTTCAGGCCGTTTATCGTCGACCAGAGACAACTTGGCCTGTAAAATAATTCTCCGAGCGATTAACGCCCCGACTTTTCTTCGTTATACGACCGTACGGACAGTGCGAAATACCGACGAAATACCGCCACCTAGGAGGGAAGAGATAGAGAAGAAAACGTTCGAACGGGAACAGATCGAGAGCGAAGAGGTCGCGTAGAGAAGTTGAATCGATTCGCGATAAAGAAGCAAACGGCGAAGAAGCTCGTTCCTCCGAAGTAACGCGACCGACCTGTTTCGAGGAGCGAGGAGCAACAAACGCGCGTCCTCGTTCGGAAAATCACTCAGCCTTCAGCATTTATCGACCCAGCATGCCCTTTTGTAGTCCAACTCGTTCGTAACGAGCGACATTCCGTTCTCACGACGATCGCGCGATCGCTTGAACCCTTACGTATTTTCAAAGTTCGGCCAACTAATTTTTCCGAACGGAAAATGAATTTTTCTACCGTTCGACTCCATCCTTTCCTCGGAAAGATAATCGAGTTCCGGTCGAGGCGGTCAAAAGATCATGAATGAAAGGTTTCGTAGTTTATACGGTAGACCGTCGTCTCGACTGTGTCGGATCGTAGTCGACGAAGAAGGGACAAGAAATAGAGCGAGAAAAGGAGAAAAGTATGCACAGGTTGGTTGGTAGGACGATGGAAAGGTGGGCAGCCGATAGGAACGACGATATTTGCGCTCGTAAAACGCTCAAGGAGATCTGGTACTGACTCACCTTTCGAGCGCGGATTTTTCGCGGAATCTGGATTGCTCTTTTTTCCCCTCGTTTGAATTTCGACCTATGTTACTCCGCCACGAAAATGGTTCCCGCAAAAAATCGATCGTTTGTTCGCGATCGACGTTCGTTGATAATCAGGTTGTACGGTCGGGAAACGCGAGGGGATTCGTTGAGAGAGAAGTGTCGCGATAGAGGAAACGGGGAATGAAGAAGGCGAATGGAAAGGAGAGCGAGAAAGAGGTCGCGTAAAAACAGAGGAACTACGGAGTGGCGGGTCGGCGTGGCACGTAGATGAGGTGGTGCTATGTTAAACATGGCGCCGGACAAAGCTGCCGACGAAACCACCTCATTTCAGTACTATCCTCCTGTCTGTCTTATTATATACCAACCGACCGGCCGACCAGTATTCACCGCACCACGGCCCCTCTCTGTCCTCCCGTTTCTACTCTTTTCTTTTTGCTCGACCGCTCTCTTCTCCGCCTTTTACCCTTCCTCTGCTTCTAACTCGGAACGTTCTTTTTCGACTTCGACTCTGGCTACCTTTGCCTCCGTCTCTGTTCGTTTACCTTCTAGCCGTTCTAGCGTCGTTTACCACCTATGAGAGGCCGCGACATCGAGCCTAGGAGGGCAAAATCGCGACGCGTGCCGATCGTTCGATTTTCGGCCACGAGACGTTACGGTCGATACACCGCTTCTACGGTTTTCGTAATCGTTGCACTTTGTACCCGGTGCTTATCGCACGCGGAAAGCCAGTACCGACGTGCGTTAATAGCAACGGAAGTCGGTTACGATATACCGCTTCCCGCTTAGCCTCGGTGAACAGCGTTGTAAGTGCACGTGCGCCGCGATAGGTACGAACGAACCTTCTTCGCGACAGAGTGGCTTTTGTCGTAGACGAAATTCCCCTGGAATTTAGATCATGGCCCGTCTCACGCTCTTACACGCTCGGCTCAGATTATCTTTACGAAGCACGGTTGCTCGCCGAGCGGCCGAAGATTCTCGTCTAGCCGATTACCACGTACGTTCGTTGAAGCGCCATTGTTCGCGAACGAAGGATTCCGAGAACCTGACTCGCGAGACGTTCTCTAAGCTAGCGACGCGCCGATACCTTTTCTCGGCTCGTGTTTCGCGCTCGCGGCTTTGCCCGTTCTATTCCGACTGGTTCCGCTCGGGAAGCTTCGAACGATCACCGATCGACGTAATTTCCGGAAAAGCGGCCCGGACAGAAGGATCGACGAGCGCGTTTGTCATCGTGGCTCGCTTCGGCACTTTACTCTCTCGATCGTTTTCTCCGTCTTCCTTGGTCTCGGTTAATTCGTTTCTCTTTCTCTGGCATCGGCCGATGCACCGGCGTGCACGGTGCAGCGACTTCGCAATGCTCGGAATGCAGCGGCATTACGCATGCGCGCCGCGTACCTTACTCGGAACAGACGAACAGCCGGATCCGTTATGTCCCTTGACGACGACCTCGGGATCGCTCGCGCAGACTATTCGACAAACTAGCGTCTTTTTGCGAATCAAACTCGCCCGTCCACGATGCTCCCGCGACGTACGCTCGAGCCGTTTCTTTGCGCCCCGCCCGTAACACGCCACGGACACCTGCTTTCGGAATCTTGTTCGCTTCGGCCAACCACCTTACCTCGCCTTGGAACGATCGGGAGCATCGTTCCGCGTCCAACTAATTGAAACGAAACTCCGTCGGAGCGAACGGAAAAAGAATCGAGGAATAGCTTCCGCGAAAAGTATGCGTTTTGACCGATTTCGAGGACCCTAGCCGAAATAAAGGAAACGGAGGTGTAGGACGGGGTTGATCTTGGACTTATGATTTTACGGTGTTAGACCGTGGCCGGTGGCCTCGGGACTCCGAGTCGAGAAGAGCCGGAGAGCTCGCCTTGGCGTTGGTGGAATGCGGGACGGGCAAATCGCGGTCGGCCCGCTTGCGCCTCGTTCCCATGCATTCCTTACTCCCTCTCTCGTTTCCCCTCGCTCTCTCATCTTTGCGCCCCCTTCTTCATCCCCCCCTCTGTCTCTCTTTCTCTTTATCTTTCTCTTTCACGCATACACACACACACATACAGAGTCTCGCGCGCTCCTTCGCTTCCTTTCCCCCAGCCTTTCTATCCCCTTTTTGTCTTGCTCGCTCCTTGCTTTTCTCACACGGACACGTTTGTACGTACGCTTCTTTCTCTGTTTAACGCGTTCGATGCACGAACATACGCGTGTTCCTTTTCTCTTTCCGCGCTTCCCTCTCCGGCAAATCCTTCGTCTATCTCTATCCGTATCTTTCAGGTTCACCAATCGTCCCCCCGAAACTTTCTTCGTCATTCTTTCGGGACCGCGCTTCGATTTTCTTCGACGGGACCACGCGTTTCCTTTCGATTACGAACTGATCGAGTATTGCCGCCGGTTGACACGGTAGTTGGCTCGCGGTAGTATCGATACCGAACGCGCGGGAAATCGAAACGACCTTTCCGGTTTTCTTCCGCGATCGCCCGAGGTCGTCGCAAGTTGGACATCGACGTCGTAGAGAAGTTGAATAACAGCTGTCGGATATTTCTACGGTCAAAGATCTCGGGGAAAAGTAATTTACGATCCTTTCGGTCGTTGCACGACCACGGCGGAGAGGATAGGTGTTGCCACGTAAGGACAACCGCGGCCTTATGGAATGCAAAATGGCGACTGTGATGCGTTCAACGAAGCCATTCGTCCGCCATATTGGTACACACCGGCAAACCGTGCTGTTACGTTCGATGGTTGGCCAAGTTGGACGCTATTCGCGTACGCGAGCCTAATTTCCTTATATTCGTCAACGAATGAAATTCTTAGGCATGCGCGTATATAACGGTGTACGCTTCTGCCGAGACTTTGACTCGCGCCAACACCAAACTCGTGCTACTTTTTTTTCGTCTCTTTTTTTTTTATAGATACCAACCAGTTTGGTGAGATCTCTTTTTCTTTCGCCAAGCGAGATCCACTGTTTTCGACTCTCGAGACAGCGCGACGCCCTCGCGCGCAATTCCTCGGGCGATGGATCGATTTCTAATTTAAAAGGCAAACCTTTGGATCGCCGTTCCGTTTTCGAACGCGTCGTTCTTACACGTGCTATACCGTCAACAGGATCACCTCGTTTAACGAACGACCATACGCCCGTAAATTAAACAACGCTCGCGAAAACATAAAAAAACTTATGAATGGACGTTGGTTCAAGGTTTCCCTCTCTCTTTCAGGAATCACGTAGAAGCGGTGCTGGTAACTGGTCGAGTCGCGATAAACGCTTTCTAATCTAGAAACGAGCGGCAACTCGAGAAGAAAGGAGAAGATAACGGCTAATGGCCTCTTCAAACATTACTTTGGCACACGTGCGTCAATCGGGTTAATCGTTCGTAAACTGTTAATTTTATTATCAACGTCGAACGTGAACTAACAAGAGCTAACACAAGGTTCGGAAGTCGAAAGCTTTCTAAATCGATAGATGTTTCGTGGATAGCTGGCTTCGAACCTTTCCGCGAGGCAATTTTTCTTTCTTCCAAATATCGAGCGTTTTCAGTAAGATCGGAAACTAGTCGACGGTTATTGGAAACGTCGAAAAGACGTTCGTCGGAGCGTAGGTGTCGATAGGAACCAGGAACAGACGCGACGCGTGGAAATCAGAAGGAAGTGCTCGAGGAGGAAAAGAAACCGTAGAAACGCTTGGAACGAGCATCAGAAGAGAAGAGAGAAGGGGCGAGAGGACGGAGAGAGGAAGAGAGAAAAGAAGACGAAGCCAGGGTGGTAGAAGGAGACGATCGTTCTTGGAAGTCGGGTGACCTCCCCTGGTGCAACCGGCGAACAGCCGGATCCGGCGGGTTAACTGTACAACCACTTATGTACGTCGATGCCGTAGGAACGCGACGACGATGCCGTCCCATGAAATAACGCGCTACGCGCCGCGGCATGACATACCATACCATACCATACCATGTGCTCAGCCTGTACGAGAGAGCGCGGTCTATACCGGTGATCCTGCATCGGAAGGAGGAGCTTGGATCGCGTCATTCATTCACCTGCTCGGCCACCTCGCCGGTCTATGCCAGCCGACCTAACTACTAAACTAATCTGTCGTTTCTCGGAAATTTTAAACGATCGGATTCCGAAACACGAGATATCTCTCTACCTGTTTTCCATTTACCCCCCGTGTTCTCCGCGCGATTCCCTTCGTTCGTCTTTTCCCGTTGAGTTTCTTTCGCGTCCGATTATCCTTAACTTCTCAATCAAATTCCACCTATGCGAGTCCCGTGAGTTCTACGAACGCCGGCTCTTCGACCGAGACCTCGTTCGCCGCATTCCATCGATCCGTATGTTTTGCCCCGTTCCTTTATTTCACCGGCTGTCCAATCTCATCTATCCGGTGCCGTTCGTTCGAATAACCCGTGTCTTCCAGACGCGAATCGATGCCACCGTTTCCTCGCGTTCGATCCGATTTCGACCCGGGTCGCCTACTGGTATCGCGATCGACGTTCCAGCGCGAATTCCACGGTCAACTCGGTCGGCATTATTTCTTTCGCCGGTAGATATTGTTCGTTTCGAGCGAATCGTTCGATTTAAAAGCCTCGAAAGGCCACGAAGCGGCAATACGGTATGCCGGTGTTTGCGCCTTCTCGTCTGCGGGCGAACGTTACGCGTATACGCGTACACAGGATCGTGTTGGTTCATTCACCTGCTACGTAGCTCGCTCTGCCGCGTTCCCTCTTACTCCTCTCCTTATCTTCTTTCGTTCGATCCGTCTGACTTTGTTCGTTATGCTCCACGGTATCGATCGTTGGCTCGTACATCACCGTTATCGATCCGGAGACGCACGGGGAACGTGCAGACAAGTAGTTCGTTAGAAATTCAAAAGCGTTTCGTTAAACGAACGAATCGATCGGTTTCCACGATACGTTCAAATTTCACGCCGCTTCACGAGATCGACGCGATTCGTGGAACGGCCAGGAACCGAGATTATTAGCTTAGCAGCGAGCGCGCGTTTAGAACGAGCGACCAAGGTAGCTCGCGGCTCGAGCAGCTGGAAAAATCTAGAGAATGTCGAAGCCGTCGACCAGTTTCAAGAACCCACCGACCAGGGGAGAGTGTGCGAGTTGGCTCGTGCAGAGCCACCTTGTCTCTTCGGTTTTATTTTTATCGCTCGATCGCGATACACCTTTTCCTTTCTCGTTTCTCGCTAAAACTTTGTTCCTCGATCGACCAACTTCCACAGCGTTTTTCTAACTTTGTACGCCATTCTGTTTCAGGAATCTCGCGATCGGCATCGGTATACAAAATTTCCCCGAAGGACTGGCGGTGTCTCTGCCTCTTCGATCGGCCGGCATCAGCACCTTGAAGAGTTTCTGGTACGGTCAGCTCTCGGGGATGGTGGAACCTCTCGCCGGCGTCCTTGGCGCGGCCGGAGTGACGCTCGCCGAACCTATGCTGCCTTACGCGCTCGCCTTCGCAGCCGGTGCAATGATCTACGTGGTGATCGACGACATCGTCCCAGAAGCGCATCAAAGGTTAGATAGAGCGTTCGACGATTTACCGAGAGACAAAAGAATTCAGAAACGATTTCGGTAGACGCTTATCGACGGTAGCGCGCCATCGGCAAAACGGACGCAACGAATTTCTTTCCCAGGCCCGGCCACCTAGCCGAAGGCGCATTGTCATTATAATTGGCTCCTTTTGTATTTCGCGTGCGATCTAACCGCCCTGCCCGGATACCCGAGAGTACCGTGCATACGTGCACGCGTTATTCCTGAGATACCGGAGCTCGGTCCGCTCCCTCGGGAACCCGGTGCCTGGAAAACACAAAAGTGAAAACGTATTACCCCTCTACGGTTGCTCGAAGAAACTGTCGCGCCTTTTTTTTCAAAAGGGGGTTCGCCTTCCGCTTTGGCGACGCGATTAAGTTTCCTGGGAATGCACGCGCGCGTCTCGCTGCACGATTGTCGGCGTTTCACGGGGAATCCCGTTCGTTCTGAAATTTCGTGGCGACCAGACGGACGATAATGGCTAATAAAAATACAAATTTCTGAGCCACACCGAAAGGAGGTATTTACCGCGCGGATATGATTGATGTGGTAGAACGCCCACCGAAACACAACGGCGCATTTCACCGGCCGTTAAAATTGATGGCCGTGTATAATTTACGAAATCAACAAGCCGTGACGTGCAATATCGGGTACGAGCGTGTGTGCTTTGTGTGTGCTTAATCCCTGCTTATACCACGAAAACCCTTTTATTTCTTGCCATCCTGCTATTCTTCGCCGCTGCGTTACCACCTCCGTACCTGGACCATCTTCGATTTTCGATCGCGGTTTCGAACTATTCCCGCCAAGAGTTGTCTCTCCTCGATCCTCTCGATCGTCCACGATCGTCGTTCTCGATAAATCGACACCTCGTCTCCTGACCGAATTTCACCGCGAGCATAGGACTCTTTAAACAATGCGTTTTTCTTGCTTTCTGATTACAGCGGAAACAGTAAACTCGCCAGCTGGGCCGCCATCGTCGGGTTCCTGATAATGATGTCTCTGGACGTTGGATTAGGGTAAAGCATTGGTCGCGCACGAAATTAGAGCATTCGCGATAGAGACGGGACTCGTTCCTCTCTAGAACCGTATTTCCTTCGAGTATTTCGCGAGAACGTCACTCGTCAGATTCCCAGATCGTTCCTTCTCGCGTTCTCGTTAATTAGGTAATTCTGTAGTTTCGCTGTTATTAGAGTTTAGTTAGAGCGTCACGCGTAGAGTCAATCGCGAACGTTCGCAGCGTCGAAAACATCGCTTCCGTTAATCTAGTCTCTGTCGACGCGATTCCAAAATCGATCGGCCGACTCGTCGAAAGGACGTTTCCCGCAGATGTCCTTCTCGATCGACGTTAAGTCGCGACGTCTTCGAACGATTGGAGGCGATAGAAATTTATACCGGAAACCGTAGTGAAATCGACGAAAAGCTTGCGACACGTTTGTTAATGTTGCTCGAGAAGGCCAACGCGAAGAATCGGTGCGGTTCCCTGTCGCGTTGCGCAACATTCTCCGTATACCATTTTCTTTTAAATGAGCTTTCTCACGGACAGGAACGTCGCAATCTCGATGCGCGTTTCGCACGACCCGTCCTTTTCAAAAACATGTTCGCGTATCGATGCATTTTCAGTTGAACTGCCATCTTGCCGCATTTCGTTTATTTATTTAAACCCCGGCGAAACGCGCGTCGAACGTTCTGTTCTCGATCCTGAACGGATCGCGAGATAACGGAATACATTGTCCTCCAAATGTGCGCGTAGATATAAGACGCGCGAAAGAACTAAAGGTACTTACTTTGAATCGCGAAGAAACGATCAATGTTTTTTACGATCTCGATTTAAACGAGAACCAACACTGTTGGTCAGACTGTCAACCCGGTATATCGTGTTGGCGCTTCGCGATCGAAGCGGTTCGAACGCGCTTTTTCTAGATACATATTTTCTAATTACGTAATCTCGATCCCTAAATAAGTATTCTCTTACCTATTGCCACCGTTTCAACGACCTCCGAAACGAACGGAGAAGGGAAAGGTTTTCCAAGTCGATTGCCTTACGAGGAAACCTTCCTCCGTTGATTCTAATTAATTGTGTATACAGAAAGCAATAAAAGCACAGTACGAATGAAACATTGAAATTCCGAATTCCATGTACCGCAGGTATGGCTCTCGCAAGGAGGTAAGTCATTGGATCTACGACCGATACGGCAAAAATGCGACGCGCACCGACGGAAGGTTAGTTCGGTAATTCAGCGTTGTCCGCTCGGCGCAAGTTTCGGTGAAACGAGCGTGCGGTATCGGCGCGGTCGACGCAGTCCCTCGTCTCGCGTCTCGCGAAAGTTGCATAACCCAAAGAGAGTCGAGGCATGAATGGAGCCGAGCGACAGAGACGGCCGTAGACCGTCGCTCGGTTTCCCGGTGCAACGAATCGACACGAATCTCTGGTGGGGATACCGACCGAGAGGGACGCATCGGTATTCAAGAAAGGGAATCACGGAAAGAGCGAACCGGAGCGAGAAAAAGAACCGTGCTTCGTACAGAAATGACGCAGTCATCGACGGGCTAGTCGCGCGAGAAAGAGAGAGAGAGGGACGTGGGTGGGAGAACATCGACTTGCTCGCTCTTAGAGAGAGGTTCTCTGTCGGAGAAAAATATAACCGAATGCTCCGATCGCGCAAAACACAGAGTATAGAGGAAAATCGTTGAAAGGCCCGAAGGAGAGAGAGGGGAAGGATAAATGCAGACGCTAAACGGGTAGAATGGAAGCGACGGAAAAGCGTGCTGGGAAGAAAGGAGAGGGGGAGGAAGGTGGAAGAAAAACGAAGGGTAAAAAAGAGAAAAGGATGATAGAGCGGAGGTACGTCGGTGGTCGCGAGTAGTGCGGTAATCGGCTGCTAAAGTTAAAGGGCTGATCACGTGGTGCGTCAGTCGTGGTGGTTGTGCGCACGGTCGGTCGAGTGAAAGAGGAAGGGGCCTACGGCGTGGACGAGGGGACAGGGGGCAGTGCGTTGCATCGGAAAGCCGGAGCACCGGTGCTGCACCCGTCAGCAGTCTTACGATGCACTTTGCCCTGCGCGTCTCCGATGCGGTGGCGCACGTGCAACGCGACGCGACGCCACGACGGACGACCGCTCGCGATGACGCGCCGCACGAATCGAGCGTAAATTAACCTGTGCTCGCGACCATCGGTGCCGATACTCGCTCGCTACCGGAAACCTACGCTTCCCGTTGCCGTGATTCTCGCGATGCGCACCGATTCCAAATCGTTCGCGACTCGTAACGCATGCGTGCTCCTTCCTTTACCTGCCGCGTGACGGCGACCACGGGTTTCGCAGTTGTTCCGCATTTTGGTTTTGGTTCGTCGACCTTTCGCGCATTGTCCCCGTCGAGCGTCGCCGATTGAAATTTGCTCCTCGACCACCGTCTCGCAAATATTTCCGCACTCGCGAGTCCCGTTGTCTCTCGCCACCCCTGTCGCGTGCAACGCGTGCTATTACGTAACAGTTACCACATTGTATCCTCCGGGACAACGCGTGTTCTTTCCGGTCTCGCGTTCTTCCGCCGACGTTTCACGCAGTCTTCGACAGCTTTTTTACGTAGGTGGTTCACCGCAACTTCTCTTCTTCCGGCGGTTTTCCGTGAACGTTTTAATCGTCGCGACATCGCGATCGACCTTTTGACTCCACGGCCCTCCCACCAGTTCCATGTGCCAACGAACCTTCGACCAAAAGTAATCGTCGACCTTCGACTAGTGGGTGGAAGTCTTAGAGATCGAGTCGATCGCTCGGTTATTTTAAGAACGATCCTGTGCGAAACGTTATCGTCCGAATTTTGGAAATTCGCCGAGTTAACGTGATCCACGATGCGAGATCCATGGGTACCTATTACCACCTTCGCAGGAAACGTTTCGCGTGAGTACAATCTACGACGTTTTATTCCCTGCTCGTCGTTAAACAAGGGTCGACTCGAGCCACCGACTTAATTTTTCAAAGGTTTTCCGTACAGGAGCAAAGAAAGAGTGGATCAATTTTAGGCTTTCTTCTCCGGTTACGCGCATAGCTCCGCACGACTCCGTAAACCCGTATTTCGCAGATAATGAGGCACGAGTCTGGGTGAGACGGTTTACCGGAATCGCGAGGAGCGCGAACGGAAAACGATTCGTCGTCGAAACGAAGGAGCGGCCGTCTCGTGGAACGACGAGATAGCCTAGTTGGCACGCAGGACCGTTTTACGGTGGCATATAGGAGCGTATGTGCCGTAGGTGTACGCCAACAAAAGCGTGTGGGTTTATATATAGAAATAGCAGCGTCGGAACAACACCGGAAGCGAAGGAGTTCCGCCCAAGCTCGAAGGGTCACCGCACTTTGAAAATCGAGATCCAAGATCGCGAGTATCGCTGCTCGTCCAATTTTCGTCCGCGTCATTTCCGTCCCTTGTCGTCTCCGATTCGTCGACCGCGCGTTTCGACGAAAAGGGCAAAGAGATCGCGCGAGAGAAAATTCGAAAATTCCTACTTAGACGCGGTAGCTCGAGCGGAAACGAGATAGACGTTCCGGTTAGAGTTTTAAGGCGTTTACAGCGCAGCGCGGAGCGTTTCCCTCGTTAACGCGTGCAAACGTTTCCTCGCTAAACTCGTGCGAGTTTATGAATGAAACCACTACCGAGCGCAATTTCTACGCGACGCCAGTAGTACTCGCGTTTACTCGCTCGTTCCACGTAGGAAGGAAGTCGCGGGCGAGCTAGTATTGTCCCTCGCATCAACGTTGAACCCCAACCGGGACTAGTCAATTAGCCGGGGCAATATTTTTACGGCAGGATGCTGCATTCAAGGAAGTGTAACCGCGTCTGCGGGCCATCTATAGGGTGCTTTTAATCGCGTCGATGTCTAATGTATTATTCATCGTTTAATGAGATACTTTCGAGTCGGCCTCGCAAAAACGCTCGATCCTTTTGCAATCGCGCGTATTTCGGTTTCCCCTTGTTCCCGAGACGACGGGCCGAGATACTTATTTATCGGGATTCGGTCGAGACGGAGCGCGTTCCAAGTAAGCCGAAACAGTGTCGCGAGGGGCTGCGTCCGATCGAATTCTAGGCCGTCGACTGGCGACGCTATTTCTAAACTCGTTTCTATTTTCTATTTGCATGCGCCACCGTCCCCACGACAATTTTATACGTCTGCGATATTTCGAGGAGTCGGCTGGTTACCCCGCCGGCGAGTTCTTCGCTATCCAGAAAAGATGCCAGCCAGCGCAACCTCGTCTCGCCTCGCCTCTGCTCGCGTACCGATTCGATCCGCCAACGGACCGATCGAGATCGACTGCGTTTCGCAGTGAACGGACGTAATGGACGCTCGGCTCGCCAGTTTCCGCCACTGGCTCAAACCGTAATCGTACTCGATCGAGCAATTAGTACATAGTATGGAGCGGCCATTAAGCACTGGCATTCTTCACGTGAACGTCACGCGGCCGCTGCACGCCTGTGTTTGTAACCATTCTAATTGTAATCGCTTCCACCTCTCGCGCGCGTATGCCTACGAACGCGATACCGCGCGACCGATCCGTGCTGACTTGCCACGGATTTCTTCTTTTTCGAACCCTATCGAAATCGCTGTCTCCATAATGCATGAGATCTTTACGGTCAGCGCCGAATTCTTTGCCTCGACATTGACTTTACGCAAATCGCGCCGGTTTCTTCGAACGCGCCGATTCTCTCTTCAAATCGCGAGGAGAACGCGACTCGACGAATCCTTCGTAGGAACGCCGCGAGAGACACGCTCGAAGAACGCCGATTCCGGTAAGGGATTTTTATCGGTCGCGCGTCACGCGCCGCCTAGAACAACGAAATAGAGACAAAGTCTAAGACCAGGAACGAAAGAGTCAGCCATTTTATGAAACGGCACAGCTGCCTCGTATCGTTGCCATGAGAGCGCGCCACGTTCAGAGCTTTTGGCGAAAACTCGGACTACGAGTTCGCGATGGTCTTTCCACGTTTTCCGTCGACGTCGCTCGTATTGGTTTCGTTTAAAAAACGGAGCCAGAATTCGAGCGTCCCGATGCAAAATTCGAAGGAGGTTCCGCGCGTATCTCGTCGCGTCGGTCGCTTTTGCGCGACAATTTTTCCGTCGCCCGCGATTCGTCTTTCTCCTTCTCTCCCCGTTACCCTCTCCTCGTGCGTTCTCCGTCCTCTTCTCTCTCTCCGATCCGCGCGTTCGTTCGTTTTCCGTAGTTTCCGTTTCCTTTTTCCGTTTTTATTCGGAACGTTTCGGGAGAAGTTTCGACCGTCGTCGACTAGAACGGGTTTCGAGCCGCGTATTCGATCCACTTACGTTCGATAATGCTCCATCTTTTCAGTCCGTAATTTCCGTGTTTTCCGACCTCGTGGCTTCCCCTTCCCACGGTAGCCGCGCACGCTTCACTATGTCGCGAAGGTGGTAGATGGAGAAAAAGAGAAGTCGGTATAGGAGGAGACGAAGGGCGAAACAGAGAGGGAGATGTCGCGGTACGGGAAGAAGGAAGGATAAACGGAGCGAGAAAGAGTGGTAGGAACGGTGCGAGAGACGGGTGGGAGCGGTTACGGCGGGATCGGCACCGGGGGAAGAGGGGAGAAAGAGAGAGATAGAACAGGGAATCCACGAGCGATCGGCTGCCCTACTCAGTCCTCGTCCGTCTACCAGTCGGTCGTTTACGGTGCGACTTTGACAGTTCGCGACCTTACGTCACTCGAGTTTCGAACGGCTCGTGCCACCGCAGTGTTTCTGGTGTGTCTGCTCTTTGCTTCGATCGTGCATCGCTTCCTGCGTATTCCTCCTCGGCCCGTCGTTTCCCCGTTTATTAAAAGCCAACAAATCACCGACTTGCAAAAGGTACGTCCAGATCGACGATTCTTTCGATCGTCTCGTGCGTCAGTTCCGGTGACGCGTCCAGGAAACGTTCGACTTCTGACGAAATAAAAACACGCGACTAAACTCGAGAAACTTGCCGTGTCGCAGCGAAAAGTACTCGTTTGCGATGTAATCGTTCGAGACGCCTTTACGTGCTCGCGCAGTACGTCTCGATCCGTGGCCACGTGCCCGATCAGTATCGTGCCACCAAAATCGTATTCTCGTTTCGTTGTTCGATCGAAACGATTTT